ATTTTTTCATATGGAGTTTTACATACCTGTTAATGTTAAATCCTAAAGTTAAAGCTATGCAACTAATCTTTAGAGTTGAGACACCGTGATTGTCTAGGGCGTGGAATTCTATGCTTTAACTATATATTATATTCATATACTAACCATATAACTTAAATATGTATTGTTGGAACCGTGTGGCGTAATTGACTTGGGCATCCTTCGGCCTCTATTTTACGTTTGTTACTTTCTTATAATAATATTTCTAGTTTTGATAGTAGTTCTTTTCATTGTGAACATTGTAATGTTGGGAAAAGTCATAAACTGTCGTTTCCAAGGTCATTTTCTTCAGTAAAAGCTCCTTTGGATTTAGTATATGGTGATGTTTGGAGACCATCCCCTATACTATCTATTGGTGGTTTTCACTATTATGTCATTTTTATTGATCATTTTTCTCGCTTTTGATGGTTATATCCCTTGCATCAAAATCGAAAGTGTATCATAAGTTTCTTCATTTTAAAAATATGGTTGAAAACCAACTTTCCACCACTCTAAAAATTGTTTGAACTGATAATGGTGGTGAATTTGTAAAGAATGATATGATTGATTTATTCAACTCCTTTGCTATCCATGGCCCCTACACACCAGAACAAAATGGCATCGCCGACCACAAACATCTACATCTTATTGAAACTATAATCACCTTGAGTCACACTACCTCCATGCCTAACACTTACAGGCTTGACACCTTATGCACAGCCTTATTTCTGATAAATCGGTTGCCTAGTCCAGTTACACATAATCTCTCACCATACGAACAGTTTTTTCATATTCCTCCAAATTTGATCATTTTAAAGACCTTTTGGTTGCTGTTATTATCCATGGATTCGGCCTTACACTGCGAATAAATTGCAACCTCGCTCCCTTCAATGTTGTTTTATTGGATACTTTTTCTTTTCCAAAGTCTCGATGTTTGGACATTCAAATCCATCAAGTCTTTATTTCTCGGTAGGTGAAATTTGTGGAACATATTTTTCCATTCGCCCTAATTTCTCCTCCACCTAACTCAGCGAACAGTCTTCATCTTCATCTCATACGACCAGCTAATCTATTTTACCCCACACACCTATTATACCAACTCATCCGACTGCACCTCTCTTGCAAATACCACTCCTATCCTCCTGTCTAGCTCCTTCACATGCGGCAACTCCCACTGCCACACCACCAAATCCCAGCTCACACACTGGTCTAGCCTCTGGCACCTCTTTTGCTAGTATAACTCCCTCTTCCCCCTTGTCCCTTAGTCCATCCCCTTCTCCCTTCAATATAGCTACCCCTCCCTCCTCTCTTGCATCTGCCTCTCTACAATTTCCTTCCACAAATCAACATCCTATGGTCACCTGTTCAAAGGTTGGCATCTTCAAACCCAAACCAATTATCTCACTCACTACCATTGTTTCAAACAAATCAATATCTCTTGAACCATCTTATGGACACACTCACAAGCACAAAGAATGGAGGGACGCCATATCATCGTAGTTTAATGCTCTTATGACCCAAGGCACATGGGTTTTGGTTCCTCTACATCCCAATCGAAAAATTATTGGGTGCAAATGGATATACAAGCTCAAGACTCATGCTGATGGTACTGTGGCTCGGCGTAAAGCAAGGCTTGTTGCTCAAGGCTTCAATCAAGAATATGGCCTTGATTACACCAAAACTTTCAGTCTGGTAGCCAAGCAGCCTACCATTCGTTTAGTTCTCTCCATGACTCTTCATTATAATTGGCCCATTCATCAATTGGATGTTTCTATGCTTTTTTATATGGTTTCTTAGATGAAGAGGTGTATATGAGCCAACCCCAAGGTTATGTTGATCCCAATTATCCCAATCATGTATGCAAACTTCGCAAGGCTATCTATGGTTTAAAACAAGCCCTGCGCTCTTGGTTTGCAACGCTCTCCCATTATCTTAGTTCTCATGGGTTTCATACGAGCAAAACTGACACATCTTTATTTGTTAATGCATCCTCCAACCGCATCATTGTGGTCTTAGTGTATGTGGATGATATTCTAATTACAGGCAGCGACACTAGCTTTATTGCTTCGTTCATCCAGACATTGAGTGGTACTTTTAGCATGAAGGACCTTGGTCAGCTTACCTATTTCCTTGGCATTGAGGTTCACCGAACTTCCCTTGGGCTTAGTCTCTCTCAACACATATATGCCTCGGCTTTACTTGAGCGAGCTTACATGTCTGACTGCAAACCTTATTCCTTGTCAATGTCTACTAAGCCTTCTGTTGACTCTTCTGATGAGCTTGCATTTCATGATCCACTTATATATCGCAGTATTGTCGGTGCACTACAATAGCTCACAATCACTCGACCTGATTTATCCTTTGTAGTCAATCATGTCTGCCAACATATGTATCAACCACTCAATAAACATTTCACTGCAATCAAACGAATCCTTCATTTTGTCAAAGGCACATTAAATAATGGGCTTACTTTCACTAATGGTACTCTCGATATGGTTGTCTACTCTTATGTTGACTGGGCCGACAGTTTCTAGGATCATCACTCTACTACAAGGTTCAGTCTATTTCTTGGGAATAATCCTGTATCCTGGTGTGCAAAAAAATAGCCCACAGTGGCTCGTTCCTCAACTGAAGCTGAATATCGAGCTCTTGCTCACACTGCAGCTGATATCACATGGCTCAAATTACTTTTACGTGACCTTCACATTACAAACACTCCTACTCCAATTTATGGGGAGACAACATTTCTGCCATCTCACTAACTTCTTATCCGGTTTTCCATGCCTGAACCAAACATATAGAGGTTGATTATCATTTTATTCGGGAAAAAGTGGTCAATCGTGAGCTTGAAGTCCATCATATTTTCACTACGGATCAGATAGTTGGTATTTTTACTAAACCACTATTGTCTCAAAGGTTCAAACATCTTAAAACCAAGTTGATGGTGGATGCCATCCCTCATCATCTTGAGGAGCCGTATTAAGAGAAGCCTGTTGGTTTAGAATTTAGAGGAGTTATCATCATGTTGAGTTATCACTCAGCTAGTCTTTCAATAGTTTAGGAGATTATCTAGAAGATGAGAATTGTTAGGAGAAGATTAGAATTGTTTAAGATTTCGTTTATCTTGCAATTAGTTGATGTATTATATAAAGACTAAATGGGTAGGACTCCAAATTATCTTTGGAGGTCCTTTATTTTCTACATAATAAATGCTATCAATTTCTCTGCAATTAAGGGGATCAAAATATAATTTAGACTTAATTTGTTATATTAACACGCAATTGACTATGTAGACATCTCTAAACAATCAAAAGTATTGCAAGTTATAACTTGAGTATTATAAAGATATTATCTTTGGACTATCAATTATTCCTCTAGCCACGATAGAGGTTTTTCTTTTTATTTTTGATATATTCCATATTCTAGACTGGCTAGTCGAACATTAGGAAACGACACCTACTCCTTGAGTATAATGAGATTGAATACCCCGACTAGAAAAAAGTTAATTAAAACTAAAAAAGGTATTCACCTGAGCAATTGACTTTCCTCTAGCCTTAGCAATCTCTTTCAGCACCTCACAGTCCAAGACTTGATTAGTTCCCCATAGTGTCCCTTTGGCCCCTAAAGGAGAGTATGCTGTAACATGAATCTTCTTCTCCTTACAAAACTCCCGCAGCCCCTTCCGCTGCCAAAGCGGGCTCACCTCCACCTTTTGAAATCAAGCATATATAATATACTCATCAACTTTTCATTCAAAATATCAACAATCCATCAATATGAGAATGTTATGTATTCAACATGGAGAAATTAAGTGTACGAAATCTGTGCATAATAAAAGAAATTGATCTTCAAGAGAAAAAGTAAATGCCATCACAGTTTTTTTTTTTTTTTGGGCAAGTAAAAGCAATTATAGTTATTATCGTTATTCCATAGGATATTTTCTGATCTTATTTACTTTTATACTTTAGTGAGAGAAAGGTGGGACTCGAAATTCATCATTGAATCCACTAGAAACTAAAAGATACTCATAGTCGATGAATGGTGATTGGTGAACATAAAGTGAGCCTAATTCATCAGGTATTGCCTATTGTGTTTATTTTCTTGATGTCTTGGTAAGAACTGATGGATTTTATATATTGATTTTCAATGTTCAAGGAGAGCTATTGTCGTTCGGTGGTTTGACCGGATTTGTTATTCAGCTGCAGAAGAAAAATTCGAAAACATGATAATTCAAAAGGATTTTTTTTTTTTTTTTTGGAAAAACCAAATCATGATGTAATGCTCCATTATGTGTCCAACATGGGCTTAATTCTACCTGATGAATAAAATAAAAGGTAAATGAGATAGCTAAATCAACAGTATATCTTTCTATTTCCATAGTTATTTTCTTACTACATCTTATTCTTCACGATGTTGGGTAATCACATCTAAGAATCTCATATCAAATAAAAAGACTTAAAATAGTTACAATATACAGTAAATAAGTTTATTAGAGACTTGCAAGAATATATAGAGATCTAGTAGTAGTTGAAATATTGTATTGAGTGACATTTCTGTATCCATATTTAAGGGTTAAGCACAATGTAATTAGTTGGTAAAATGTCGATGTATCTTTTTGGTCCATGAATATAGTCACCATGTGCCAAACTGCATATATTTTTGGATTTTGTTTCCTTATGTTTTCTATCTTTAATTCGATGCTAGGAGACTAACTTGATTTACTGCGGGAGGGATCTTTGCTGTAGCAAGTAACAGGTTGAGCTTCTTGCAGGAGAAGTTGCTCACTCCAATATTTTTTGAGAGCCCCAATTTATAACACTCCTCCATGGCTTCCCAAACTGACTTGAAATCCATTGGAAGAAGGAATTTCCCATCGAATGGCACTTTGTCAACCCCTGGCTTCAAGCTAACTGGAAAATGAATTAGGTAGAGATCAACATAGTCCAACCCGAGCTTCCTACATAAAGAAACATGACCGCAAACTGTCAACAAATTTGCATTTGGACAAGTAAAACTAATTTCAACTTGCACGGATATAATATAACAATTGAACAATGGCACGAAGCAAAAACTTGTCCGTCATTAATTCATGTCTCTTAGGCACATAAAACCCAGTTTAAATTACACACATGATTAGTAGATGAGTGCGTGCATTCACTCATTAGTTAATAAAAAATAAGCAATTAGAACTAATTTCCTGTCACACAAAAAAGAAAATGGAAAAAACTAGTATGAGAAAGTATTTGATACTGGAGTGTTTGTCGTAGGGCAGGAATGACGCGATCAGAATGTGCATTGCTGCACCAAAGCTTCGACGTGATAAACAGTTCTTCACGAGATTTGATGAGCCCTAGCCTCAAAGCTTCAGTTATGGCCTCACCAAGTGGCCGTTCCGATTCGTATATTGCAGCGGAGTCGAAGTGTCTATAGCCGAGTTTGATTGCATGCAGAATGGAAGTTTTCACGGTGTTGGATCCGCCAAACGGCCATGCCGCAGTTCCAAAGCCGAGTAGAGGAATGGCAGCATCGGTACATGAGCCCAGTGGTGCCTTAGGAATGCTTCCCATTTCTTCTAATCTAATGAGAAGAAATATAAATTTCACAAAAATCTGAATCAAAATAAAAATTTGAAGAATCAGAGGGCACCTTAGGATGACCCTAGATGACAATAATTTGATCTATTGCTTCGGTTGAGGGTGGTTTTATTGATGAGAGAACAAAAGAAAAGGTCTTTGAAGAATGAGAGAGAGAGGAGTGAGGCAGGGAGAGAGATTGACGGAAATGTCATAGGGACAAGAGAGTGCGTGACTCGAGGTATGGAGAGAAGAGGAGGGGGGGGGGGGGGGGGCGGAAGACCACGTGAAGTCTGTAAAAAAAAATGATGGCTTTTCATGAATTGTTAAAAGTGATTCTATTTTTATTAACCGATTATTATGCATGTCTTTAGATACGGAGAAATAAAAAAAATTATTAATGATATATATACTAGTTATTATTTGCACTTGAGAAATAGAGTAATAAAAAAGATAAATAATAAACATATTTGTATTCATATTTAAATTTAAATCACAAATATAGAAGAAAAATAAATAAATTTAAGTATTAGTTATAGTGAGAATGAGAGGTGGTTGACGGTAGTGATGGTGATAGAAGACGATGATGGTTGTGGTGACAGTTGTGACGGTAGTGACAATGGCAACGACGGTGGCGATAGTGGGGGTGATGGCAATGACGGCGACGATGGTGGTTGTGATGGTTGGGGGTGGCGATGGTTGTGGTGATGGCGGAGGTGGTGGTGGCGACAACGGTGGTGGTGGTGGCGGGGGTGGTGGTGGTAGAGATAGTGGTGGGACGATTTCAAATACTATTTTTTTTAAAAAATATTTATAAGAATAATTTCTAAAAGTACTTTTAAAAAGTCACTTCAAACACACCATTAGGGGCTTTTTTTTTAGAGTATTAATATTAACCGTTAGATTAGTTTTAAAATAAAATTTAAAGTGATTTGAACCGCGAAAAGTAAGAGTCATTTTGTTTATTTTTTGAGATTTATATTGTAAGCTACTTTATTATATAGATTTATATTTACACTCAAAATCAAGTCAAAAATATAAATGAGAAAGAAAAGAATTTAAGCATCAATTATAGGGGTGAGCGGTAGTGGGGTGGCAATAGAGGTGGTGGAAGATGCTAGTGGTTGTGGTGGGTAACCATGGTGGTGGTAGGTAGCTGTGGGTGAGAATGATGATGGTGGTGGGTGTGGGTGGTGGTGGGGCCCTATAACGGGTTGTGATGGTGGGCATTGACGATGGTAGTAGTGGGTGTAAGTGGCGGTGGGCGACGATGAGTGCTTGTGGGCAATGGTAGTGGTGGGTGATGGCGAATGGCGGTGTAAATAGCTATAGATTAATTATGAAAATTAGTAAATAATAAATAACAAATAAATAATTAGTAAAACCAATTTTTTGCAACAATAAAAAAAGAGTGGTTAGCAAAATTTTGTTGAATATTTATATTGTATTTAATTTTGTAACTGTAGGAATTATTTTTAAGAAAGTAGAATTTCAGGAAGTTAGCACCAGCAACCTGTAGAGTACAATGCAAATTCTAGTCAAGGAGTATCGTCCAGACGGTGGGGGTGGTGTCCGGACAGCAGTGTAGATATAAATACCCCTTCCATACTAAAACAGATTAGTTCAGTCTCCCTCGTAGCCAGAATTCGAAAACAACCAATTTTTCCTGAAGGATTCCTCTCAAATCTGCTACACTCGATTGTTTTTCTTCAAATCTTCTCCGATTATTCACTTACCCATCACATTTTGAAGGTTTCTACCAATTGAAATCAGTCAATACTAAGTATTTAAAGAGAAATCAACAAAATATGGATTCAAGGCACGACAACCACAATTGGAAAATATCTACAATAAGGTGATTTTGAGAATATTGCACAACAGGCCTGGTACGATGCTCATTTTCTTATTAAAACTATCATTCTTGAAAGACCAGTAATATATGAAGGTTTTGAAATATAGGAGTTAGGCAAATTCTAGCTGCACAAGGATGACTTGATTATGTTAAATTTGTTGCTCCTGCTTATGACTGCCTGGTCCGTGAATTTTATAGTAATACAGAAATAACTGGAGAAAGACAAATACGCATATTTGTTCGGGGTATAATTTTCCAAGTTACACTGGTTACTATAGTCGATTTTTTTCAGTCCATGCAAAAACCACCCAACCCGCAATATCCTTACACTGAACTGCTTGAATTAACTACTGTAGGGACAGAGTTAACTGGTAATCCTAAGTTTATTTGGGAAAGACCAAATAAATACATAAAGCAAGGGAATTTAACAGACAAATACCGAATTTTGAATAACAATGAACAGTTTGCTACCCCGAGCCCAGAAAAATCAAATTTATACTGAGCAGACCTACTTCTTATATGCCTTTGGGATGAGGCATACAATTAATCTTCCTAATCTCATCATAGATCAAATGTTGCTTGTTGTGGATAGAAAGAAACCCTTACTCCCATATGATATGTTAGTTTCTCAGTTGTGCAAAGAAAAGGGAGAAATTATAGATCCCACATGGAAAAAAGTGAAACCTGTTGCACCATTGGATAAGACATCCCTGAAAAAGAGTCATGGAGTTCAGCCTGAAGATCAACCTGAAGCACCATTTCCACCAGAAGGAGAGCCATTCCAAGTACCGGAAGAATTTTTTTCGCAAGAACAATAGCAGCCACAAAAGGATCAGCCATACATACCAATGGATGACAAGACCGATAGACAAATCTTACTTGGGTTGGGAACCACTTTTACCCGGCTTAGTACCACCATCCAGAGATCAACAAACGCATGGAAGATTATGAGCAGAGTCAAGCGGAGATTTTAAGGCTACTCCGAGAACATTTTGGAGGAGGACCTTCTACTTTGTAAAAATTAGAGATTCTACAAAAAAACTTCACTATCTCTCACTCATCCTTAAAATTATGCACTTTAATCTACTTTATGTTTTGAACCTGTTTGTGGCTTTGAATTTGTTTGTTTTTAAGTTTGTTTTTATTCGTTAAGATGAAACTTATGTTTTTAAGTTAGGAAGACTATTTTATATGATTCACAGTTAAATTAAGTTAATATTCTAATGCTTTGCAAGAATAGTCTTAATCTGATCACGCAGGATTTCATATTTTGGTTGTGTATTATCTTAATATTTTTGTTTAAACTTATTCTTAAAAGCACAATTAGATTTATTTATTATTAAAAACTTTGTGAAATATTACAATCTTTGCATATATAGTGGAGATGTAAGATCTATTGCAGATTTTGAACCAATCTTTCTTGGAGCGATAATCTACATCTACTCAAATAAGAATCTTCGATTCAACAGTAAATTTTCTTTAAAATATTTCATTAGCTTTGTTTTCATTAGCACTTATTGAATTATATTGTTAACATTTTCCTTGAAATTTTTATTTAAAAATTATACAAATATACGATTTCTGGAAAATGATCTTAGGCCATTTTTGATTAATTTTGAGTCTTGACCATTTCTTTTACAAAATTATATCCTTAGTAAGCCATGATTGAGCCTAAAAGAATATAAGTTCTTTTCATGAAACCGGAAAAATACACAAGCCATATGAGAATACCTTTGCTATCTAATTTTCTCGCATCCTTTTCTAAATCAGCATGATACAGAAAAGTAGTAGAAGAAGAAAATGTAGAAAATGATCACTGGTCAAAGAAAAAAAAATTTGTGAAAGAAATTTCAAAAGAAAAGAAAAAAAGAAAACAGCCAAGAAAGTGAAAAATGAAAAATGAAATGAAAAAAAATGTGAGAGTCTTGAAAGAATAGAATAATGTGTGCCAAGAAAGGATAACTTTTGAATCCCATTTACGTTTTTTCTTAAACCTTAATCCATTGGCCATATTACAACCCTGAGAAAGTCCTTTTTGATTCCAGAAGTCATATATGTGTATTCATCTAATAATCCAAAAAGAAGGATGTTGATAATATGTTTAATATAGTGTTAATATTCTTTTATGAGATTATGTCAAATTCTAGTTTATTCAAATAACCACCCTTTTGATCAATTACATGTGAAACTCTTTGCTTTGTTGACAATATTTCAATCACATGTAATTTTTGAGAAATTAGTCACTATAGCATATGTTTATTTTTTGCTGAGAATATTACAGGGGAGGATTGACATCAAGACTCCCATGAGAGATGGTAATATTTTTTAAGTGATTTTTGAAAATAAAGAAATCATTGCATACACACAAATATTTTTATAAAAATATATAGATAATGTTACAACTAATATGTGTTACTCTTATAGTGATCAAAAAAGGAAGTATTCTAGCAATACAAAGGAATGTTGATTTAATTTTATTTGTGAAAAGTATGAATTATGGACTCTTAACTATTGAAGTTTGTAGGCAGCTTCACTGAAAACCTTCACGAGACAAAACTCGTCCACTAGGGATCACCTAGGAGTTTAACGGCTTGTTGTAAGGGAGTGTGATTAACCTTAATCAATATGTAAAGTAATATAGTTAAATAAGTTAATTTTGTAAGATAAAACAGTTAAAAACTATAAATTAGGATTTGTGCGTAAACTAGGGTTTATGTGTGTACTGTTTAAAATTTCAGGGTTTTTTGTGCAGAATTGCCAAAAATCAGGAGGAACAATATGTCAAAGATTAAAAGAACAAAGGGAGCAAGTGCAATATCAACCAAGAATCAACAAAAACATTGGGTAAGTTACCACCACAAACTAGCAAATCACCATCGTCCAGACAGTGGCTCTAGTCGGTTTAAGCTCATCCTCCACCTCATGCTTCACCTTTGCCTATATATATAACTTGTCATCTTCATTCTTCAATGGGCTAGTGGGGAGAGAGAAACCAAGGGAGTCCAAAGAGAATTCAAGAAGAAGAAAAGAGAAAAAAAAAAAAAAAGGAAAAAGGCATAGTGAATTCAAGGTCCGTTCTGTCCTACTCTCCAGCCAAAAATCTATATTTCTACATTTATGTTATGTCTTTCTATTTGGAAAATTGAACTGCCGCCACCTTTGTGCCTTAACTGATATTAAGGGTGGTTGTATTTCAATTGTTCTTTGCGAAAGAAGTGTCAGTGTCTGTATTTTATTTACTGTTGTAATGATAATTACTTGCACTTCTTGCTTGTCTATAGTAATGGAGTGTGAGTAATTTCTTTATACCCTTTAATAAGAGGTAAACAT